GGCAGTGGCAGAAAGCACCGAGGCGATGGCGAGTCCCTGGGTGAGGGCGACTCCGAGACTTACTGGGACCGGTAAAAGGCCACCACAGCTGCTGAGCTGAGCCACAGTTTGATCCTCCTGAGGCCACCGAGCCACAGCGCTCTCCATTATCTGGTCCCTCTCCATCACCTGGTTCCCCATCACCTGGTCCCTCTCCATTATCTGGTCCCTCTCCATCACCTGGTTCCTCTCCACCACGTGGTCCCTCTCCATCGCCTGGTTCCCCATCACCTGGTCCCTCTCCATTATCTGGTCCCTCTCCATTGCCTGGTTCCCCATCACCTGGTCCCTCTCCATTATCTGGTCCCTCTCCATCGCCTGGTTCCCCATTGCCTGGTCCCTCTCCATCGCCTGGTCCCTCTCCATCGCCTGGTTCCCCCATTATCTGGTCCCTCTCCATCACCTGGTTCCTCTCCACCACGTGGTCCCTCTCCATCGCCTGGTTCCCCATCACCTGGTCCCTCTCCATTATCTGGTCCCTCTCCATCACCTGGTTCCTCTCCACCACGTGGTCCCTCTCCATCGCCTGGTTCCCCATCACCTGGTGCCTCTCCCTTATCTGGTCCCTCTCCATCACCTGGTTCCTCTCCACCACGTGGTCCCTCTCCATCGCCTGGTTCCCCATCACCTGGTCCCTCTCCATTATCTGGTCCCTCTCCATCACCTGGTTCCTCTCCACCGCGTGGTTCCTCTCCATCGCCTGGTCCCTCTCCATTGCCTGGTCCCTCTCCATCGCCTGGTTCCCCATCACCTGGTCCCTCTCCATCATCTGGTTCCTCTCCATCGCCTGGTTGCCCTCCATCCATTCTTTCCTCTCCTTCCTTCTCCTCTCCAGTGTAAGGCAACTTCATGTCCGGGCCTGGGATAGGGATGTTCAGGTGCAGAGATGGACTAACTTGCAAAGAAGCCTCCTGGAAGACAGACAGACCACGGCCTCTGCTGTGGATGAGGATGGACACCAGACCACCAGACTCCAACGCAGCTTGGGGGGGGAGGGACACCCAAAAATTTGCCAGGAGCCTCTGATCCAGGACAGACATTTGCTGCCCACCACGCAAGGGCTTTGAGGCAGAACAAAAAGCCTGGCAGCAGCAAAGCCACCGCACGGCCGGGCACCGAGTCCTCTGCCAGGGCCACGGCTGAGCTTGGCAGCTCAACCCTCCCAGACCCTCATCTTCCCCCCTGTGGGGAGAAGGCAACTGCTGTCTCCATTTCAGCGCACAAAGACAAGGCCGTGCTCGGCAGGGTGGATAAATCGGCGTCGCTTGGCCGCCTTGGGCTGGCTTCAGCTGGGTGACCCCTGGGACAGGGACATCGGGGTATGGGGAGGGCCTGGGTTCAGGGGGCTTGGGCCGGCAGGTTGTGCCCCTGCCTCCTCCAGTTTGAACAAAGTGGAGAGGATGTCCCCACACATCATCAACACAACCTCGCTGGGGTAAGGGCTCTCCAAGAAGGTGACGTAGAAAAGCTTCTGCTGA